GATATGGTGTTATTGTTATATATTCCATGGGCAGTTGTTTAAAATATGTATTCTGCTGTTATTGGACAGAGTGTTTTATAAATGTCAATTAGATCCTGTTGGTAGATGTGTTGTTGAGTTCTTCTATCTCCTTTCTGATTTTCTCTCTAGTTGTTCTATCAATTGTTTGAGGAAGAGGTGATGAAGTTGCCAATTATAATTTTAGATTTATCTATTTCTCCTTGCCATTCTAACAGTTTTTCTTCACATATTTCCACCTCTGTTGTTTGGTACATACACACTTAGGATTCATATGTCTTTTGATGGATTGACCCTTTTATCACTATATAGTGACCCTATCTGTCTTTGGTAATTGTCTTTTCCTGTTAATCTGATATTAATATAGTCATTTCTGCTTTGCTTTGATTAATGTTTGCATGATATATCTTTTTACATCATTTTAACATTCAACCTGCCAATATCATTATATTTAATGTAAATTTCTTGTAGACAGCAAGTATTTTAGTCATTTTTTTATCCAATATACCAATATCTCTCTTTTAATTTATTTTGACCATTTACATTTAGTGTAATTATTGACATTAAGGGCCCAAGTCTGCCATTTTGTTTTTTGTTTTCTGTGTGCTTTCTCTGTTATCTTTTTCCTATCTTCTGTGGGTTACTTAAATATTTTTAAAATTCCATTTTGATTACCTATAGTTGTTTTGGAAACCCTTGTGGTGTAGTGGTTAAAGTTCGGTTGCTAACCAAAAGATCGGCAGTTCAAATCCACCGGGTACTCCTTAGAAACCCTATGGGGCAGTTCTACTCTGTCCTATAGGGTCTCTATGAGTCAGAATTGACTCAATGGCAATGGAGTTTGTTTCTTTTTTATATAGTTGTTTTGTTGTTGCTGTTGTTTGTTCTGTTTTGCATGTATCTCTGTGTAGATATTTTTGGTTGCTGCAGATAATGCATAGTATATACATAATTTATCACAGCCTACTGGTGTCATCGTTTCACCAAGTCAAGTGAAGTATAGAAATCTTACCTCTCTTTATATCCCTTTATCATCCCATTTATAATATAATTGTCTTAGATATTTCTTCTACATATGTTTAGAACCACATCAGACAGCAGTATGATTTGTTTCAATAATCAGCACAATTTAGAAAACTGAAGGGAAGAAAGAAAGCCTACTGCCCCTACTCACATTTTTGTTTACTGTGTTTTTCTTCTTTCTTGATGTACCAAAGTTCCTTTCAGTTTAGATTACTTGCTTTAGCCATTCTTTTAGAGTAGGTCTACTGGTGAAAACTTCTCTAAGTTTTTCTTATCTGAGGAAGTCTTGATTTTTTCTTCATTCCTGACGTATATTTTTGGTGGGCATAGGGTTCTGGGCTGGCAGTTCTTTTCTTCCAGCCCCTGAAAAATATTGTGCCACTTCATTCTGGATCCATGATTTCTGATGCAAAATCTGTTGTCATTCTAATTGTCTTCACCTATAATTAAGTATTGTTTTTGTCTGGCTGCTTTCCAGATTTTTTCTTTATCTTTAATTTAATTATTATGTGCTTGGTGTGAATTTTTTTAAGTTTATCCTTCTTGGAGTTTGTTCAGCTTCTTGAATCTGTAAATTTATGTCTTTTGTCAAATTGGGATGTTTTCAACCATTATTTCTTCAAGTACTTTTTCAGCCATATGCTCTTTCTCCTCGCCTTCTGAGACTCTGATGAAATAAATGTTAGATCTTTTGTTATAGTCCCATGAGGCCCTAAGGAAGGATCTATTCTTTTTTTTGTGTGTGTGTGTGTGCCTACTTTATCTTTGTTGTTCAGACTGAGTAATTTCTATTGCTTTATGAGTCAAAGTCAACTCAACGGCAACAAGTTTTGTTTTGTTTTTGGTTATCTTCCACATCACTGATTCTTTTTTCTGTCCGCCCTCACCCATTCTGCTGTTGAGCCCATCCACTGAACTTTTTATTTTGGTCATTGTATTTTTCAGTTCTAAAATTTCCATTTGATTCGTCTTTATATCTTCTACTTCTTTGTTGAGACTTATTGCTACATTTGTTTCAAGCATGTTCATAATTGCTCATTGGAGCCTTTTTATAATGATGGCTTTAAAATCTTTGTCAGATTATTCTAACATCTCTCATCTCAGTGTTGGCATCTAACAATTGTCTTTTTTATTCAGTTTGAAATCTTCCTGATTCTTGATATGATGACTGATCTTTGTGACTTGGACATTTTTATATTATGTTATGAGACTCTGAGTCTTATTTAAACCTTCTCTTTTAGTTGGCTCTTTCTTACAAGGGAAAGGTGACATTGCTTGTTACTGTCAGGTGGGAGTAGAAGTCCAGTTTCCCTAGTTGGCCTCATTTGACAGCTAGAAGGGGAAGGCCCTCATTACTGTTGGATGAGGGTGGGAGTGACAGTTCCCCATGAGGGCTCTGTGGGAGAGCTTCATTACCATCTGGCAGGGGTGAAAGTTCCAACTCCTTACTTGGCCTTCTTTGACACCACCCTGGCAGCCTCACTGCAGCCTGGCAATGATGGGAGTCCAGGCTCCTCACTTGGCTTTTGCTGGCATGGGTGGAGGTGGGGCCACAGTTTTTTTTCTGTGGTGTTTGACAGGAGTTAAGCAGTAATTGTCTAAAACTTTTCTGTCTTACTATATTGCCCATTCCCTAGTAATTTGGCAGGAGAGAGCAGGCTTTTGTCCGAGCTCTTTTGTTTGCAACCCTTGGCATTTCTGGGTTGCTGATTTTTTTTCAGCTCCAGTCAGAGGTACATGAGATAAGAAGAAAACCTAGAGAATCCTCCATCATGTCGTTCCTTGGGTTTTGGAGTTCCTAGCTGGTCTGCCCTCTTTTCTCCACCTTTCAGAGTCTTCTTATGTTTGTTTTATGTATAATGTTCAGGGTTTTCATTGTAGAAGTAGAGGAGAGGAATAGAGAAAAGTACGTCTTCTCTGTCTTCCTGGGAGTGGAAGTCTAGCTCCTTTTTTTCTCCTGTTAAATATAAAGCTGTTACAGAATCTTTCTATATAAAGCTTTCCCACATATAGAATGGATTCCCAGAAGTAGAATTGGCCAAAGGATATGGACATATTAATGATACTTAATATATATTATTAAATTGCTTAAAAGATTGAACCTATTCACACTACCTCTAGCAATCTCTTGACTGTTAAGAGTAATTTTAGTTTCAAAGTGACACTAAACACAATGTTTGCCTCCTTCAGCTCCTTAGTGAACTAAAGGTAGTACGTGCTGACCTGTAGGTAGATAGATTTTTTCCACTCAGGCTATTCCACCACCACCACTGAAAATCCAGAGTGTGCTGGAGATGATGGGTTTCAGCAAGAAACAGACAAGAACCCCACAAAGAGGAGGACAAGGGCACAAGTGTGTGGGGATACATGCCTGCTGTCTTGACAGTTAACTATATTTTTAGGGAAACTGCTCGTTTCAATGTAAGAGCCTAAAAAAAAAAAAACCCAAAAAATGTGATTAAGTGATCTGCTATATTATTTTAAAAAAAAAAAAAAAAAAAGCAACCCCATTGCCATCAAGTGTATTCCAACTCATAGAGACCCTATAGGACACAGTAGAACTGTCCCATAGGGTTTCCAAGGAGTAGCTGGTGGATTTGAACTGCCAACCTTTTGGTTAGCAGCTGAGCTCTTAACCATTTTGCCTCCAGGACTCTATGCTATATTATGGTGGGGGTGAAATGGGAACATAGAGGCGGAGGGTGAGGAATGAGATGGGGAAGGAATGAGCATGATATGATTTTAGTGTTGGACAGGGCCAGGCATCTACAGCAGCTCTTTGTCATGGTCAATCACAAGCTCTTGGCCAGGGTATGTGATCTGTGTGTTTTGTGGGGACCACAAACCCAGACAGTTGAGGTCAGGGAAGGGGAGCCGAGGAACACTTGCTGACAGCTTGTAGATCTTTTAAGAGTGCATTAGTGAAGGGTAATGACACATGGAAGATCCACAACAGGTGATAATCAGATTATTTATGTTTGCCTTTGGGATCATTTGAATAGAGTACCACCTTAACTGTTGTTCTCTGACCCAGAACTGTTGTTCTGGAGTATGGGCTTCTCTCCTGCTCCATTATGTTGGTATTGCCACCTACAAAATACTAGTGTAGTGTTAACAAGAGGGGTCCTTGAACCCTTGGAAGGATGGTGCTGAAATCAAGAGTCTTGAGTACATGCTTAGTCACAGCCCTTAACCACCATACGCCTCGGTTGCCTTTTCTCCTCTCTTGACAAGATTATTGTGAGAACTAAGTAAGTTAATGTATGTGAAAGGGCTCTGTAATATTAAAATCCTGTATCCTGTAAAAAAGAAATTAGGAGTCCAATTCATTCATCTGGTCGGTTTTTCATTCATTTATTTATTGGTTACACATATTTACCAATATGTGTCTCAGACACAAATAAAATAATAGAGCCTTGCTACGGAAATCTACTCTAGGAAGAGCTAACAGGCGGCGCTGTCACCAATCCTTCCTCCACCCTCTGTCCAACTCCTCCCTGCAGCCTGCTGTCCATGTGGGTTGGATGTCTGCCCTCTCCTGTAGGACAGAGAGATGACTAAGTGTAGGTTTCAAAGAACTTGTCTGAATCAAGACTAAGCTTTCAGTGCTAAGATATCAGCAAAGTTGTAATGGAATAAATTAAGTCCTACAGACTTATTAGTAAGATGCTTGGAAGGCAAATAGTTCACTGGACTCAGGAACTTTGATAAACTTAGGGCAAAATTTGCACTGGACAAGCTATAGATTGCTTAAACACCGCAGCTTTCCCAGCTATTTTCTGAATTCCCAGCAGTGGCTTTCTCTACCTCCTGCAGACTAGGAGCTCCTTGCAGATAGGAACTTTGCTTTCCTCATTTTGAATCCCGATAGACTGGCACTACTCTTGCTGCTAAAAAGTCCCCATGTGGTAGAATCGAGATGGTGGCAGTGATCAGTATTCTTGGTTTTGGACCTGCAGGTTGGAGCCTTCCCCAGGCTGTGTGATGTGCTCCAGGTGCTGTGGGCGGAACGAGACCAGTGCCTGCAGGATCTCTCCAGGGAGTGGACAGACGACCTGGGCGTGGAGCAGCCAACACCAGGTACATGGCCACCTTAGTACCACGACCACCCTTGGACTTGGATCATGTCCGGTTCCACTGGATCAAGGGAAGCTGGGCCAGGATGGGGCTATGGATGGGTGGGCCAGTTCCATTCAGCCAGATAATCACTTGAGATGGGGGGTACTGAGTGATCCTGGTGAGCAGTTTACACACACCCAAAAAGCCAGATCATCACACTCTTCCTTCTCTCTGAGAATGTGGATATAGCCAGTGTTTACTTACCATCAACTTCCGTATGATTACTTCACCCACGTAGGGGTTCACTGAGAATTCGTTTTAAAGGCACTGTCACCATCACTGATGTCCCTAGGTGGAGCCCACAGGCAAGTGGTCAGTTGCCAACTGAAAGACTGGAGGTTCAAGTCCACCCAGAGGCACCTTGGAAAAAAGGCTTGGCGATCTCCTTCTGAAAAATCAGCCACTGAAAACCCTATGTAGTACAGTTCTCCTCTGACACACATGAGGTCACCATGAGTTGGAATTGACTTGATGATGACTGGTTTACTGGTTTGGTCATCTTCACCACCTCTTTGATGAGTGAGGTAGTAGGAAAGGCAGTGTGAGGTCAGAAAAACTTGGGGTCCAATGCTGGCTGACACCCACTGGCTGTGTGACCTTGGGCAAGTTACTTAATCCTCTGAGCCTCAGTTTCCTAATCTATAAAATGGAGGTGACACTGTTTACTTCAGGACTGTAGTGACAAATGAGATAAACAATGGAAAATACAGATGTTTCACAACTATTACTAATTTAAATATTAAGTATTATTAATAACCAACCATTTAAACAACAATTTAATGTTTAAATATTAATTTTCTTTCTTTCTCTTCCCTTCCTTAACTTCTCGTCTTTGCTCTTCATCATCTAAAGATAACGAGAGATGGGGCTTTAAGAAAAGAACGCAGGCTTTTAAATTAGACTGTGTTCTTGAATAAGCTACTACATGTCTTTGGTCCTCAGTTTCCACATCTATTTTATGGGGTTGGTGTTAAATTAAAAGCATTTATTCAACAGATACTTATTTAACACGTACGGTTATATGGTGAGAATAAATGAAACAATGGTAAGAAAAAAAGCAACGTGAACCACTATCCTATGGCTTAGGAATGTATTTTGCTGCATGTGGCAGAAACTTGATACACTGGCTTCCCCAAACAGGAGTTTGTTTTTCACACATTACAAAAGTCCAGAGATGGTGCAAAGTTCCAAGATGTCATCAGACTCAAGATTCTTTCTAATATCTTTCTGCTTCACGTGCCTCTTTTGTCCTCGTGGTGGTAAGATGACTGTTGCATGTCCAGGGAGGAGAGGAAGGTGCCTATGTTTCTGGCAGGAAGAAGGAGAGAAGGAAGTTTGAGATATACCAGGAAGCCAAACGTTCCTAGAATTCTCCAGGTGATTCTGCTGTGCCTCATTGCCTAGAGCTTGGCTGTGCACCCACCCTTGGTGCAACAGAGGCTGGAGATGGAGTTCGTAGCTGTGCACATGGCTGTCCTGAAAAAAATAAGTTTCTGTTACTGAGAAAGAAGAGAGAATAGGCGGTGATGGACACCGAGCAGTCTCTGCCGTCATGACTCTGTCTGGTGAGGGTTAAGTTAATCAAATAACCATAAATTAATGTACAATTACAGCGAGGTAATCACAGTACCGCCTGCAGCTCCGTATAAGTGTGCAAAAAGGAGTCTTGACTTGTTCGAGGATTACGGGAAGGCTTTCCCAAGGAAGCGATGTTTGAGCTGAGATCTAAGGACACGGAATGGTTATCAGGCAAAGAGAAGAAGGAAGAGTGCTTCAGGCAGACAGAACAAACCTGTGGTGGGAGGGAGCATGATGTCTTTGAGGAAAGGAAGAAGGCCACTGTAGCTGGAACACAGCCTAGATGCAAGATGAGCCTCCGGGGCAGCAGGACCACCACATACAGGACCTCACTGGCTACGTGGAAGATTTTCATCCTGCTCCTAAGGGCAATGGCACACCCTCGAGAGTCTCAAGGGGAGAGAGACATGGCCATCTGCCTTATGAGAAGATCACCCTTGCTGCACTGTGGAGGGTAGATTGGGGAAAGACACAAGTACACTCGGAAGCTGAGGGTCCACCGTTTTGTGATCTGATGTGATTATCCTACGTGTTGTAAATCCTAACCTCTGAGCCCTGGTGGCATAGTGGTTAAAGAGCTCGACTGCTAACCAAAAGGTCGGCAATTCCAATCCACCAGCCACTATTTGGAAACCTTCTGGGAGCACTTCTACTCTGTCCTATAGGGTCGCTATGAGTCGGAATCAATTGGATGGCAACAGGTTTGGTTTATGATGAGGCAGGATTAGACGTGGTTATGACAATGAGGCAGGACTCAATCTACAGGATTAGGTGTATCTTGAGTCAATCTCTTTTGAGCTATAAAATACAGAATGGAACAGAGAGTAGAGAGACCTCATACCACCAAGAAAGAAGCACCACGAGTGAAGTGCATCCTTTGGACCCAGGGTCCCTGTGCTGAGAAGCTCCTAGACCAGGGGAAGATTGATGACAAGGACCTTCCTCTAGAGCCGACAGAGAGAGAAAGCCATCCCCAGTAGCTGGCGCTTTGAATTTGGACTTCTAGCTTCCTAGACTGTGAAAGAATAGATTTCTGTTTGTTAAAGTCATCCACCTGTGGTACTTCTGTTATAGCAGCACTAGGTAACTAAGACAAGAGGTGTCTTTCTTTAGGTTCCCTAGAAACAGACCCTGAGGCAAGGATTCAAATGCATGTAGTTTATTTGGCAGTGATTCTAGGAAGTACAAGTAGGGAAGTGGGGAACTGAGACAGAGAAGGGAAGGAAGCCAGTTAAAGTTGCTTATCACTGTGGGCCTGTGGAGTTTGTTCACCCTGGAGCTTATTCCCCCTGGGAGCCTGTGTAGAGCACACCTCTCAGAGTGGCAAAGGAGCTGAAGTATTTATCCACCAATTCCCTATCAGTCAGAGTTGGGGCTGCTTCTGGGGAGGGGGCATTTATTTCCTTGCACTTCCAACCTGCTGTGCATGGGAGCAAAGTGGGCTCCAGCAACTGGAGAAAGCCCCCAGACAAAGAGATTCAGGGCCAGCAGTTGGAAGTAGGCTGGCATACACAGAAAAGGCAAAAACTGCAGAGGTATGGGCAGGGCACCTACAGGGTCTGCTCCATAAGGTGTGGTGGAGATGGGGAGACGTAGATGCACGCAAGGGCTACCTGTTGTTGTTGGTTGACACTGAGTGTATTTCGACTCATGGCGACCCCATGTGTGCAGAGTAGAACTGCTCCATAGGGTTTTCAAGGCTGTGTGACCTTTCAGAAGCAGATCGCCAGGCCTGTCTTCCAAGGCACCTCTGGGTGGGTTTGAGCTGCCAACCTTCCGGCTAGCAGTCAAGCGTTTAACTATTTGCACCACCTAGGGACTTCTGGCGTGGAGCTACTTAGGTGGTGACACTGACAGGGCTTGGTGACGAATCAGTTCGTGGGCAAGGTGGGAGAGGCAGTATCCAGGATGACTCCCAGGCATCCAACTTGAGCAACTGGAAGAAGGGGTTAAGGAGGACCAGGAATTTTGGGGAAAAGGAGACAAAAATCATTAGTTCAGTTGTAGGTAGAGTGTGGAGTTGAGATACCACAGAGGAGAGGTCAGGGCTCAGATAAGCTTCTGTATAGATGGCATACCACCACTTGTCTGTCAGTTTGTCGTACTGTGGTGGCTTACATGTTGCTGTGATGCAGTAAAATTTTGCTGAAGACAATTCAAAAATAGTTGCAGCAGTACATCACCAGGGAACTGCCAGAAATTCAAACTGGATTCAGAAGAGGACGTGGAACAAGGGATATCATTGCTGATGGCAGATGGGTCCTGGCTGAAAGCAGAGAATACCAGAAAGATGTTTACCTGTGCTTTATTAACTATGCAAAGACATTCGACTGTGTGGATCATAACAAATTATGGATAACATTGCAGAGAATGGGAATTCCAGAACACTTAATTGTGCTCGCGCAGAACCTGTACATAGACCAAGAAGCAGTCATTCAAACAAAACATGGTTTAAAATCAGGAAAGGTGTGTGTCAGGGTTGTATCCTTTCACCATATTTATTCAATCTGTATGCTGAGCAAATAATCCGAGAAGCTGGACTATATGAAGAAGAACGGGGCATCAGGATTGGTGGAAGACTCATTAACAACCCTCGATATGCAGATGACACAACCTTGCTTGCTGAAAGTAAAGAGGACTTGAAGCACTTACTGATGAAGATCAAAGACCACAGCCTTCAGTATGGATTACACCCCAACATAAAGAAAACAAAAATCCTCACAACTGGGCCAATAAGCAACATCGTGATAAACAGAGAAAAGATTGAAATTGTCAAGGATTTCATTTTACTTGGATCCACAATCAATGCCCATGGAAACAACAGTCAAGAAATCAAATGATGCATTGCATTGGGCAAATCTATTGCAAAAGACCTCTTTAAAGTGTTAAAAAGCAAAGATGTCACTTTAAGGACTAAGGTGCGCCTGACCCAAGCCATGGTGTTTTCAATCACCTCATATGGATGGGAAAGCTGGACAATGAATAAGGAAGCCCAAAGAAGAGTTGATATATTTGAGTCATGGAGTTGTAGAAGAATATAGAGTATACCATGGACTGCCAGAAGAAAGAACAAATGTGTCTTGGAAGAAGTACAGCCAGAATGCTCCTCAGAAGGAAGGATGGTGAGAGTTCATCTCAGGTACTTTGGACATGTTATCAGGAGGGACCAGTCCCTGGAGAAGGGCATCATGCTCGGTAAAGTAGGGAGTCAGAGGAACATGAGATAGATCGACACAGTGTCTACAACAATGGGCTCAAACACAGCAATAATTGTGAGGATGGCACAGGACCAGGCAGCGTTTTTTTGTGTTGTACATAGTGTCGCTGTGAGTGGGAAGCTACCAACAATAACAACACAGGTGGCAACTGAGGCTGAGGTGGCT